AGTATTGACTGCAATTCCTCAACTTCAGGTGCAATACTGTTAATGTAATTTAAACTGTTTCCTAATTTACTACTTGGTCTATGTCTCTTTTCATAGTACTTGTTATTTACGTAGTACTTTTATACTTTTGTTTTACAGATTTTATTTAAAATTTCTTAGATTAGATTTCAAAATTTATTCTTATTCTTGTCTTGTTGTTGTTGTTGTTGTTGTTGTTGTTGTTGTGTACCAGTCTCATTGACCACACCAAATTCTTTGTGTGTGAAAGCTCACTTGGCAATAAAGCTTTGCTGATTGAGACTCTGACTAAGTGTACATATTGGAATATTTAAGCTTCCTAAAAGTTTTTCCTGTTTTTACTTTTACATTTCTACCGTCTGACAGAGATAAACACAACAGAGAAACTTTTGACATCCTTCTAACACCAGTGAAAGAATAACTGAACAAGTGGCCTCATGTATTAAACGCTATGAAATTATAAAATGCAATATAGTGTATTTCTGCACCTTCAATTCAGAAGACTGGTGTACTAATAATAACTGATCCTTTACTGAATGTTCATGAACTTACACTGATGATGTCTTTTGTGCTTTCTTGACTAAACTGTTGGCAGATTTGCAGGATTTCTTGGCAGCAGTCTCTCCATCTTCTGCCTCCTGCATCACGATAGCCATCTCAGCCTTCAGCGCAGCTTGGAGAAACCCCTCTGCACACTGCAACACACAAGATCGACAGTTATTGTAAAGAGGGCAAAAGTAAAAAGATGCAAAGCTAAGATCACCAGAAGAGAATCGTACTTCAGCTTGACTTTCTGTCCCCACAGTGCACGCCAGTGTCCTGCAAACGTCTGTGACCCGCTGCCTCCTCAGAAACGCAGCACTGTCGTAAACTGGGGCAGCAGATAGCGCGAAGCTGAAGATGAGGCAGAGAGATTCGGTAACTTCTGCCCCTAACTTGAAACCTGCTCCTCCAAGAGTGCAAACACATTCAAAGATCTGTGAGAGACAGATGGGCTCAAAGTGCGAGTGAGAAACATAAGGTGACTGAAACACGCAGCGGGTCAGGTTTAGCAGCTCTCCTTCATAGGGTTCCTTCTCATTTGAATTTGCTGAGGCTGTGTAGGAGTGAGTTTCCAGTAACTGAAAGTAGGCCGTGAAGAACTCGTGGCCCTGCATCTCAGGAAACTCCCTGAGCTCCACCAGTTTTCTCAGCGTCACCATGGAGAGCTTCTTCAGCCTGGTGTTGCCGTTGGACAGGATGGAACACGCCGTTTCCCAGACTATACTCAGGTCACGACAGGACACGACTCCTCTCAGGGCGTCAGTTATGATACCGAGCGTCACGGCAGTCAGCGACTCCAAGGCAGCAGGTGAGGACAGCACAAGAGGTGAAGGGGTGAGGTACGAGGAGGCACACGTGGGGGAGAAACTGAAGCACTCCAGCGTTACAGGCCATCGGTTCTGCGTGTGGATACCCAAAGCATGTCCCTGTCCGGCCAGCATGGCGATATGAGTGTACAAGATGTTGCTGAGGTCCTGGGCCAGGTCTATGAGCTCCTGAGTCAGACGACTGAAGATGAACGGCGCTCTGACTCTCAGAGTGTGAAGCAAAGAGCACAACACCGCAGAGACCTGTCCGTGGATGACGTCACATCCTGGAGCTGCTGCTACACGAAGCAAACGCACCGCCACCCACTTACTGAAGTCTGAAATCAAGAGGAGAAATCAGAGGAGAAAGGAAAGAGAAACACACAACTAAATATGCTTTGATTTTTTTTTTTTAAATCTCTGAAATCTTTTTGCAGTTTTTTGGCAAACATCTCCTACCAGTACAGCTCTGTGTGGTGTCTGGGTACTCGGCAGGCTGGCAGGCAGGGTTGGCAAACATCAGAGACGAGGATTTGACTATATGCTGCACAAAGTCTAGCAGCATCACACAGGCCGGCTCTGAACTGGACTTCTTATGTAGCCCGAGAGCAACTGAAAAGAGAAAAAAAAAAAAGAAAAAAGAACAGTCAATGATTAGTTGAAAAAAACAAGATCACAATCTGGGAATTAGAGAATTAGAAACCTTCCCTGTTATGCTAAAAAAGTTAGAAGAAAGAGAAAACACACATTTCTGCTTCCCCCTTCTTTGTGAAATATGAGATCAATTTTGATCATAGTCCAAATGTATGCGCTGTTTCTTTTTTGCCCCTTTGTCCTCTTTTAAATTAGATTCATCATATTCACTTTATTTGAATTACATCATACTTTACGCTTTGGCAATGTTGTTAACCTGATATTCATGCCAATAAAGCACATTGAATTGCATGCATTTTCATACCTAACTTGGAGCACTGAGGTTAACCAACCAGATGCTTTTGGATATTCCAAAGTCCAGGCGCAATAAAAGAGGCTTTGCAGTGGCCACCCTTAATCTTTGGAACAGTTTCCCTTTTTATGTGAGAACTGCTCGGACTTTGGAAACTTTAAAGTCAGTGCTTAAGACCCACCTCCTTTTGTTGACATTCGATTCAAATAGAGTTTGACACCCTGACTTCACCTCTTGTTGGGATTGAATTTTTTGATTATTTTTCACCTCATTACTATCACTCAGAGGTGTCCTTGTGTCCTGGTTTTAATTGCGTTTTACATAATGCTACTTTAGCTGCAACGTGGCTCGCCAGTTCGTGTCCTGGTGAGGACACTGGAATCTTTCTGCATTGAGTTTGCATGTTCTCCCCGTGCAGCGTGGGTTCTCTCCGGGTTCTCCGGCTTCCTCCCACACAGTCCAAAAACATGTTGAGGTTAATTGGTGATTCTAAATTGTCCGTAGGTTTGAATGTGAGTGTTCTTGGTTGTCTGTCTCTAAGTGTAGCCCTGTGATAGACTGGTGACCTGTCCAGGTGAACCTGCCTTCACCCTGAGTCAGCTGGAATAGACTCCAGCCCCCCATGACCCTAGTGAGGATTAAGCGGTGTATAGATAATAGATGGATGGACAATGCTACTTTAACATTATAGCATTTTGTTTTGACTTCTGTTGCTTTTGTATTTCCCAACAAATATCGTGCATTGCATATCATTTGCAGGGAACAACTGTGGGAGGTGAAAGGGACCTAAACTTCATATGGACATTAGAATGAGTGCATTAGTGACATTTTAACCCATAATCTGTTACATCTGCACCAGCACTGGCAAGACGAGTCAAGCAGGCATATTAGACAGTGTCAACCAGTAAGCTTTGACTTAATGCGGTACTGTCAGGGGTTTCTATCATTGTGAGCACCTTCTCTATGTGCTGACATTGTCTACTTACCGACATCCACATCTGTCAGGATCCTGTCAATGAACTGGCAGAGGATCTGTCTTGGTTTCTGCACCGCCTGGTCGTACTCAGCAGCGCTGGCACTGACAATACCAACATAATGTTCCGTTATTAGTGGATAGATGAAGTGGAAAACCCTTTTTGTTTACTACAATAAGTCGCTGACACAAAAAAAACCACTTCAACAGAAATTATTCACACTGTTGACAGTTTAGCTTTAGCTTGTAACTCACCTAGCTAGCTCCTGAAGAGCCGGTATCATCGCGGACATCTCCAGACCTTCCATTTTTGCAACTACTCGGCGTGTCGCTGTTTAAACAACTTCAGGACATTAACATGAAGGACTTTTTAATAAATAATTTTAACCAGAACAAACACACCTCCACGTTCCGTCCATCCTGTCAAGTGTTTCGAAAACTTTCGCTCCAAAATGACGTTTTTTGTTGTGGTACGGCAGACAGTGAGGGTCAAAACACCCAAAGACAAACGGGAAGCGCAAACTGCTCCCCCTATAGGAGCTTTTGGTAATTACTGATCTTAACAGCATATTCATTTTTTAAAATGTACTTGTTGTGCACACACGGTATTGTGGTGCTTTTTGTGACAGCTTTCTTTAATGTATTTTTTGTTAAATTGTGTATTTCTGAATTTGAGTATGTTGCAAAATGACTTCATCGTGGAAGAAAAGAAAAGAAACTTGGTCTGTAATCATAATTCACTTTGCAGCTTTTTGAAACAACAGAAACATAGCAAATGCTCCCCTACTGCGGTCCTAAAAAGGCACTAGACTAAAAATATAAAATAATTTTAAATATAAGATACAAATACTTCTACATGATTAAGAAATCATGACCTAATTCTCTTGCTTGTCAGTTGCTTCTCAACTTTGAAAAAGATATTTTTACAGTTTATGGCTATATCATGGCTTCAAGTACTTTTTGTTAGCCAGGATATTTGGTCTAGTAAATAATATTGTATGTGCATTATATATGAGACAACCTTAGATTGAATATTAAGATTAGTCAGGTATATTTGTATTATATAATGTTGTAGGGCAGGGGTGTCCAATCCTGGTCCTCGAGGGCCACAGAGGTTTCCCTCTTCCAACACACCTGATTCAAATCATCAGGATCGTTATCAGGCTTCTGCAGAGCTTGATGACGATCCTGGTCATTTGAATCAGGTGTGTTGGAAGAGGGAAACATCTAAAACATGCAGGATTGTGGCCCTCGAGGACCAGGATTGAACACCCCTGTTGTAGGGTCTTCACTGTAATCTGATTTAGGCAGATACATTTATATACAAAATAATACTGCCTTTTACTTAATATTAGTCAGAAAAATATGTTTCATAAATAATATTGAGAGGATTGAATTACATTTTTATAATATATAATATTTTCAAGTCTTTAACCTTAATATTTTTATGACAAATAATTTAGTATAATAATCGTGCCTTTGTATAACAATAATAATAATAATTATGTTGTAGTGCCATAGCCTTAATATTTAAGTTATCCATAATGATTTTTAAAATAAATAATATTGCAGGTCTTATGTATTTAAATTACTCAGGTAAATATATACACAAAACAATTTAGCCTTTAACTTAATATCTGAATTAGTTAGGTATATTTGCCTGATAAATAATATTCTTCGGTTTTAACTTCAATATATAAATTAGGCAGATACATTTACATAATAAATCATATTTTAGGATCTTACAGTTAAGATTTTAACTTTTTAAGTGGATCTGTAACAAACTTATGTCTCTTTTGGAAAGAAATTTGGTGCAATGCTCTTGTAAATGTTCTGTATCAATAACAGTGACTTCACATTATGTACTATATACTTTAATCAAGCTAGTTTCACCTGTGAAAGTCTTAAAATAGACAAAACACACACACTCACACACATGCACGGTTTTTCATCACCTTTAATGGAATCTTTTCAATAATTAAATAGCAATATTTAATGCACAACATTTACAGACTTAAAGTGTTTGCTGAAAGAGTGTTTGCTATGTCTTCTATCATATCACAGAAGAAGTAAATAGAATAGTAATATCTTATTAAATATAATAAAGCAAAGAACAATTAGAAGCTTGTTCTGTAAAATCACATAAATAAATGCTCTGCTGATGAGAAAAGATTTTTAGGTAAAGTTTACAGTTTTTAAAAGAACAACAGAATGCCTCGTTCTGTCTGGTGATTACCACAAAGTTATATGTCAAAGAAAAAGATGATTACAATGATAATAAAGGATGAAAAAAAAAAGAAATGATATGCATATTGGTTGTTTTTCTTTAGGTTTGTTCATGTCTGTTTTAGCGGTCGGCCTTTTTCATTCCATGACCCATGAGGCAGGCGAACAGCGTCAACACCATCTTGGGATTCACCTCCACCAAATCATCGGGCAGAGCGTAGACACGAGCGCCGATCTTACGAGCCAACGAGATTGCATACCTGAGAGGGGAACAGGAGGAGGAGAGAGAAGTCAGGGGACGATGACAGAGTAACATAGTCATGGGAAAGAATAGTCCAGATTGTGTCTTTTACTTGGCATTGTTGTGTTTATCATCGTCGCTCATTCCTTTTCTGTCTCCTTTCTTCACCATGTCCCACTTGACTGAACCGGGAGCGATGACGTCGATCAGGTCAAACACTGGCAGACTGGTGCTGATCAGCTGGTCCTGCACAAACCAAAGAAACAGGGTTTAATGCACATTTAGTGATATCATGTTTTTGTTTTTTTTCCCCCCACACTTACACACACACACACACACACACACACACAAACCTTGAAGCTGTTGATCTGTGTTTTCTTCTGTTTCTGGCTCAGCATGGTGTTGACCCAGTCCAGGATGATCTGATCTCCGACCCTCTCTCCAGTGCCCAGATCTGACAAAACCATAACTGTGTACCTGAAGGACAACGAACAAGACAAATAACTGAATCCGTACAAGCAGCAGCTGAAAAGAAAAAGACCAAAACAATACACGACAGCTCATCTGCTCATACCTCCTCATCAGCTGCCAGACCAGTGACAGGGTGTGCAGAGGACTCCCTTCATTTATGTTTTGTCCTCCAATTCCAACCAGAGAGAACTGAGCTACCTCCCTGCCCAGCTCCACTGCATAGTTACAGTTCTCCAGCTAGGGTAGAAGACAAAAAAACTTTACTTTTGTTATCCAAGGAACACACTTTTCTTGCGGTCACAGGCATTGTTTGCGTACAGCACCTTCTTCATGTTTTTCCCCAGGACGGGATAAGGAGGACGGTTCACTCTCTTCCAGTTCACATCCACATTGACCTTTTCATAAAGCTGCAGAATCACCAGAGCATCACACAGGTCCCTGCAAACAACAATGACACACAATAACAACAGCAAAAAATTAAAAAAATATATCACACCAGTTTATTCAATTGGTATTATTTGGCAGAGGAGAAATCAGATTTTCTTCTTGGAACTAGGAAGTATGGTTAAAAGCTAACATTTAGTTTGATTTTAAATTTAATCCCACTATGTTACAGACTCTGTGTAATGGCATTTAAGGCAAAGAAATAGATGCATCAATTGTATATTTAGTATTTCCAGAGTAGATTTCCAATATAAGGAGAATGTACTGAAATGACAGTCTTTCAAATCACCCGTTTTGGTGTTGAAACAAAGTTGTTGTTTTTTTTAAAGTTATTTTTTTGATAGCACAGTGAGAGAGACAGGAAAGTGGGGGAGAACATGTGGGAAAGGGCCATGAGCGGGATTCGAACTCATGACCTTCACATCGGGACTGCAGCCCTGTACGTAGGACACCAGCTCAACCAGGTGAGCGACAGCGGCATGTTGAAATGAACTTTTGCTGCTCCAAGTGGAACCAGTTACAAAAAACAATCAAACTCAGTGTATTTATATCTGTATCTTCTTTTAAAAATATGGTGAAGCAGCTTTTTATCGAGTCCTGTACCTGCTTTTAGTGTATTTTATCTTCAAAGACTTTTATTGTCACGTTTTGTTTGTGTATTCTTTTCTTATGGATGTATTGTATTTTCTGCTCTGTGCTGCCTCTTGGCCAGGCCGTTATTGTAAATGAGAACCTGTTCTCAATTAACCTACCTGGTTAAATAAAGGAAAAATCAAAAAATAAAAATAAAAGTGCAGTATTTTATTTTTTTTAAAAGTAGCTACATTGTCATACATGATGCTTAAAATAAAACAACGTAATATCTGTCCTCTAAACTTCAGCTTAGGTAAAGGGAAGGGGAAAATATTGCAGGCCAGTATATATGTATTTACAAGTCATTGTATTCGGTAAACCTGTGACATCTATTGCAATCCAATACAAAAGCACTGACATACTTTTTCTTCATTTTCAGTTTTTCTTTACTGTTTATAGAGTTGCTACTGTTCAGCCTGTATGTATGCTGCACATATCTCATAGTGTTGATACTGTTTGCTCTGTTCATAGTGTGTATGCAGTTTATACCACTTTACACTCAGCGTATTAGGAGGAAAGCTTAAAGTACTGATGAAAGTATGTACAGAAAACAGAAATTGCAGCAAGAGCCTTATGTAAGGCACCAAACTTTCTACTCAATAAAAATGACCGTGACACTAACAATGATTACGACCTGTATGTATGCGTCACCTTTTAAAAGCAAAGTTAGAAAGTGTGTAAGTATCATCTAAAACTATGAACACACCGCCCCTATCTCCATTCATACAGCCACTTCTGTATCATTAGCTATCGTTAGAAATCTTAAGGTGACTCACACTCACATATAACTGAGGGCATACCTGTAAAGATAGTTGACATGTGGAGAGACGCCAAGAGAGTTCATCCAGTTGCGAAAGGTTTTCTCTTCTTTGGTCTCTGTTGGAGAGACGCAAAGATGCCATAAACATTATCACGTTGTCTACCAGCTGTTTGGCCACATGTGCCACGCCTCGAAACACTCTTCTTCTTGGACTTTTTATTGGTGTATGACTTGTGTGACAAGCAATGAATGTGTTTCATCCACATATGCTGAACGTGTGATGTTGAAGCATAGCGAGAGAGGCATCTCACCCTCGACGTGAACCGTCTCGATGCCATTGAAGTGACTCTTTTGCAGTCCAGGATGCATGTTGTACATGTTCGCCACGAAGGCCATGTTCAGTTTGCTGTTTCCAGATGTGACGTCCAGAGCAGAAACAAACTGCCTGCAGTCCAGTTTGGCCGCCTGCTGCAGCATCAGCTCAGCTCTGTGCTCCAAATTCCTCTCCTTCACATATACACAAACACATACGTCTGTAAAAATCACGCCAGAATCTAATAACATACGCTCTATCTGCAGAATAATGACAGATATGTAAACAAATCATTACATTTGGAAGCTATGTGACCACTAATTCACCACTGAAATCAAACACAGATTCTATCAGGTTTCATCAGTGAACTGTGCACAATTTTCAGCTTCACATTTTCCTCATGTTAATTTCTCGCTGTGATTTGAAAGCTTTACCAAAACAAAGTGACTCACATTGAGGCCATTCATGTCAATTTGGACTCTTCTGAATCCATGCACTTCTTCTGAGGCGATCTGGCTCAGCAGGTAGAAGTAGGCCCGCGAGTCCTTCAGTGGCACAGACACAGACAGAGTTACACTCACGTCTTTTTATAATTAATGTTTGTATTTGTGTGTGTGTGTGATCTGCGTGGCACCTTGATGTCATCACTGAAGTTGCTAATGGTGTCTGTCCCGGCGTTGCGTAGATGATGGTTGACCCAACGGAGCAGCAGCTCCTCCGGTGACAGAGACAACAGATCGTCCAGTTCTTCTCCATGTAACAGGAGGCTGATCAGACCTGGAGACACAGAACTGCTGTTAGTTTGCTATTAAAGCAAAAGAGATTAAATGGATCCAAAAAATGGATTTATGCCTTGTGACAGTAAAACTCTCCATTAAAATGAACAGAGTTTAAGGTTTCGTGGGAAGAATTGAGAACATCTGTGTTGAATTGTAAACGCAAAAGAGCTGATGTACATTCATTGATTAGGAAACAAGTTTGATAAACAGTTAAGTTCAAATCTTAAGGACATCTTAAGTGTTATTAATGTACAACATTTGTAACACATTTGTACATCATTTGCACGTTCTGTTCTTTTGCACATTTCTGTATCTCTCTCATATATTCTTAGAAATTTGTTGTCTTTTTCTATATTATATTTTCTACATTTTTATCTTACTTTATTTTACCTACATTTCATACCCTACCCTAATATTCTGTGTAGTCTTTTTACTTGTTTACCCCGTTGTTGAATATTGCTGCTGAATACAACTGAATTTCTCTCTGGGATTAATAAAGTCAGTCTAAGTTCACAAAAGCTACCTTCTCCTCATCTGAACACACACACTCAGATGCATCAGAGCTGACATGAATAGTTGCTCAGTTTATTAGCAGAAATATTCTCATGTTTAAGCGCAAATGGCACACAGTCACTGATTACAGTAATGCTTTGCCGCTTGTGTTTATCTTATGTGATAAACTTATGTAAATTGAAGATATGTGAACGTGTAGATACCACAGTGGCTTCTCGGACTTTGTGATAAGCATCTTCATCGTTATCTAACAACTGTTTAAGACAAAAAAAAATGATAACAAGCAAATTAATCGATACAGGGGTTAAAGTCCCCAGAATATACAGTAACTGCTTTATCGAACACCATAAGATAATTGCATCAAAGCTAAAGGACATCTTAATAATAATAACTAATCAGATTTATATAGCACTTTGCTAGCTCAAAGACGCTTGACACTGTCAATTATTCATTCACATACATTCATTCTGGTAGTGATAAGGTACGACTGTAGCCACAGCTGCCCCAGAGGCGTGGCCTTGAGCAATCCATTCATACGCATTCACACCAGGCAAGGTGGATGAGGCGTCTTGCCCAAGGACACAACGACCATGAAACAGGTTACGGGGCGGAATCGAACCGCCGACCTTTGAATCATTCACCGACTCACTCTATCACCTGAGCCACAGACGCCGCCTTAAATGTTATGAATGTGGAACATTTGTCTAAATGCAGCAAAAAAGAAAAAACAACAACACTGGGCTCAAATGTGATCACAAATACCCACTAACTAACTAACTAACTAACTAACTAACTAACATGCTAGACAGAAATAAGCTTAAGCTGGTTGCTATCGCTGTTCTTTTTGTTTGAATGTTTCCTATTTAAAATAGTCTTTTTTCTCAATTGTTACTTTGTTCAAAAATCCTCCCAAACAAACCCTAAATTATAAAATTTAGTTTAAAGAATGTAAAAGTGGACACCTGCGTAGCAGTCAAGGTTTTCCCTCACACACATTCCCCCACTGTTTCCACATACATGTACGTAAGGAGGAGGTTGTAGAAGTTATTAAATTACTGCTGATACTGTCTGATAACAATGAAAACTAAAAAAAAAAAAAATCTTTACTTTATTTTCATTGATTTATGTTACCTACAGTAAGATGATAAATTGTTTTTCTGCTGCAGTGAAACATTTATGCTCAAGATCTAAAATTGCTTGTGTTGATTCTTATTTCAAATCTCTCGTTGTATAAGTCATGACACCGATATTCAGAACAGGTGCTGCATTCCAAATGGTTAGTAGTTTAACTATGAAGTTAATGTGTGTGTGTGTGTGTGTGTGTGTGTGTGTGTGTGTGTGTGCGCTGACCTTCATTCCTGCTGATTTTTATATCAGCAAAGAGGCCGACCTTGATAATCTGCCAGATCATTCCCAGGACCAGATGAGGTTTCCCGGCCATCAGATCATGAGCGTCGATGCTCACCACCGTGCAGCCGATCGCTGAGGCTGAGTTCAAGGCCAAGACCACATTATCCTACAAATGTATAATATTTTAAATCAGCGTGTTTATGTGTGATCAAAGTTGTGTCAAACAGCAGCATTTCTGTTCAGGAAAACTACAGCCTGACTCCACCAAATAATAACTAACCTATTAGAAATCAAACACAGGGCTGTAAACTCGTTAATGCTGAACATGAATGTCGATTAATGGCATTGAGTTAAAAAAAACAAACAAATGAAGGTCAAACATGTAAGACTGCACTTTTTAAAAATTTACTTCCCCACCAAACATGAAATTGCCGAATCACAGTAGATATAAAACAGATACGAAAAAAGCAGAATATGCAGTAAAACAAAGTTAATATATTACAGGCTCTTTTTGCAAAGTCCAACATCACTGAACAACTAATCTTTTCAGATCTAGACGTTTACTGCCTACAGTATGACTTTCTTAGCTGGCATCCGGATGTATAGTCCCAGAAAACTACAGATTAGCAGTTTGCTTAATGGATAGCCCCCCATTTAATTCATTTTTTAATAAGCTAAGTTGTAGTTTACACTGTGACAATCCTTTTTACAATTTTACATGTTGACTTTTTGTTTTTTTCCCAAATTGCAATTAATTCTACTGTCGTTATATGTGCTTTTGTAACATATGCTTCTAAGAAAAGTGCAAGTTGAGGGCATTGATACCACTCTCATATGAGACAAGATAAGATCAGCGATTATTAATCCTACAGCGGGGAACTTTGCAGTGTTACATCAGCAAAAAGGAATAGCGCAAATGTGTGGGTAGCATCAGCAGAAAATAAAAATCCACTAGAAATATAAAGTATTGTTGATATTGTACAGAATTTTTTTGTGGAAAATCAGATATTGCACTGGTTCCTCTGGATGTGGAAAATAAGTTTTGCAAATATCTATATATTGAAAAACAACGGCCTTCCATGAGCAGAAATACTCCTCAGCATAAAGCAGCTAGACTAGCGCTTACCAACGATTCTTTAAAAAAAATTCACGTAGCAGCACCTTTAAAGATCATAAATGAGCAAGTCTATCATATTAATTTAAGTTGCAACACTAACATGATGATAATAATCTGCTGTGTGATGTTTAAAGCTGTAGACAGTCTCACTGTTTTCTCGTACCTATGCTAAGCTAAGCTAACCAACTGTTATATTAGTGGTGAAGATCTTATTCGCTAACTCTTGCCTTAATACATGTGTGCCCACAAGAGTTATAGTCTTTAACAAACAGTATTTGCTAAACATAGGTGCTATGGATTTACTAAACTCCCAAAAACCTGCTGATTGCTTGGTGGTTAGAAAAGTTTCTGGGTTAGAACCTGTGAGTCGACTGGGCCTTTCTGTTGCTGGGTTCCTCCCACAGGCCAAAGACATGCATGCAAGGTGAACTGACGAGCCAAAATGGACGACAGGTGCGAGTGTGAGCATGCACAGTTGCCTCCTGTGATCCTCTGAAGGATGAAGTTCATATAGCTAATGGATGGATGAAACTCTGCTACTTACTCTCATCGTGAAGGTGGTGAGCTTCTTGGTGTTGATGACTCTTTCGTCGATTGTTTCGGGCTGAGAGAGGTTGATCATCTTGCTGGAGGAAAGTGCAAGCAGATAAAAAACTAAGTAAGTCGGTGAAATTACAGCCGATTGAATAACCTCTATCATGAAGTGAAACGCCTGAATCCAAGTGAGCATGGTGGATAAGTGAACCACTATAAAACTGCAATAAAACACGATCACACCATTCTCACTTTAACCTTTGTTACCACATAAAAATCAAAAAACTGTTAGCCTCACTGTGCCAGTCAGCACAGTGTGTGAAGCGTGTGTGTTCTACCATAGCAGGATGCCATCGCGGACAGAGGAGAAGAGGCTGTCATCGTCTGGGTTCATGGGCAGCAGATGTTCGCAGTCTGGATCTTTTGCCAAAGATTTGTTGATCCACTTCACAAAAGCTACCTTCTCCTCATCTGAACACACACATTCAGATGCATCAGAGCTGACATGGATAGTTGCTCAGTTTATTAGCAGACTGCAAATATTCTCATGTTCAAGCTCAAATGGCACACAGTCAGATTCCAGTCATGCTTTGCCGCTTGTGTCTATCTTATGTGATAAACTTAATTTAAGATATGTGAACGTGTAGATACCACAGTGGCTTCTTGGACATTGTGATAAGCATCTTCATCGTTATCTAACAACTGTTTAAGACAAAACAAAATGATAATAAGTAAATTAATCAATACAGGGGTTAAAGTCCCCAGAATATACAGTAAATACTTTATCGAACACCATAAGATAGTTGCATCAAAGCTAAAGGACATCTGAAGTGTTATTAATGTACAACATTTGTGAAAACTCAGCAAGAATTACAGCTGCTGAAAAACACATTCATAAACACCTACAGCGACATTATAGTTTGTTATTGACAATTTATTAACTGTTAACTTATATACTGAACAGAGAGACTTGGCGAAAAGCATTCAAAAATGAACATGAGTTTAATTAACTTCATTTAAACAAATATTGCATGACATTAATCTGATCACCAACCTGCTTCAGTTTATTCAAACAACTAAACGTCCTTTCTTCCATCATAGATTATGGTATTTCCAGAAGAGTTAAATACAATGAATTACTCCAGCTGCACAATGAAAAGGTTTTGACCTGTTTCACAAGGTGCATCCATATATATACATATATACATATGTGTGTTCCATCAGATCCTGTGACCTCCAACTTTCCACTGTTGTAGACCTTATTACATATTTTATTGTATTAGTGAAAATTATGCAAATAAAATATCTGTCACAACTTTTAATTGTGGATGACTGACCACAAAAACCCTGAAAATAGGCTAAAAAAATATTACATTTTTTAGTCTATTTTAATTCTGTGCCGGCATTCTGTATTTTTTTTTTCTCTTAAGATCTGTTTTTGCCTTTCTTAGACAGTTGATAATGAACAGGGAGAAAGGAAAAGGCTAGAATTGAACCAGAGATGTTACAAATATGCAAAATGTATGTCATAGTCTGTATGACTGGACCCAATCAGCTCCAGCAACATGCATGTAACACTGTGAATTTATAGCATGTGATATAGTATGGAAACAATAATAAAACTGGATATTCAATGCACGGACCGGTCACAGAACACAACGTCACACTAAGGGAAATTGGCACAGCTTGGGAAATGTGCAAAAGCAGAATATTTTTTATATCCGGATGCTTCAAGGAGTCTGTACGGTGTCCGAAAACACTTCTACCATATTGGAAGCTTTTCATTTTTTAGTAAACCAGATGCTTAGTTGTGTGGCAAACTAGAAGTAATCATCACATAATGTGTATTCTCTCTTACCACGGTAGGAGTGCTGTGTTCCCTCGTTGGAGATCCTTGACAGTCCTCCAAAGGAGCAGATCCCATCTCTCCTGGTGATGCTTTTCCTAAATGTCTCACTGAGCTGTTTGCTCTTCAGTTCTTGATAGATCTGACCACAAACAGACTGTGTTACTTGGCGCCTGCATGGCTGGATGGATAAAGTTTGCGCATTTATCTGGACTTACTCCGACAAATTCCTCAAAGCTGATCTTCTCGTCCTTGTTTGTGTCTCCGGCGACGAAGGTCTCGATGATGTCTCTCACCTGGTAGCCCGGCAGGTAGAAGCTGGCCTCCCTGAACAGCTCATGAAGCTCATAGTCACTCACGTAGCCGCTGTTATCGATGTCTGGAGATAGACACACAAAGAAATGTACACACATATACAGTAAGTCAGTTTGCTTCATCAATAACAAATGGATTAGGCTAATATTTACTGGTGAATACAGCCCATATGATGAAACGGAGAGCAAACAAAAGTCATTTTGTCATATAGAAAGAAGAGAGTCTTGGTTTGGACGTCACTACTTCAGTTAATACAGTTATCGGCTTTTAGTTGGAATCGTTTTTGAAAGAACTCAACTTTTTACACCAAGATAAACAATCAGTCATTATCATTATTGGAAACTTTCTCCTCCATACAAGCTCAAGTTTCCTGTGGACGAATATTACATTTTTAGATGCTTGGCTGTTCCCAGGTTTGTTCGGCTTTTGAACCAACATCTTTTTCTTTTCACAAGCTATTATAATGTCAGTTGTCTGGGATTTTTGTCTTATTCATTTGAAGGATTTCTTTTACAGGCCCGATGGTACCACTGTGTCCAATATCGCACACGTACGTTAATAAAACTGGAAATTTCAATCAAATTAGACAGAAATTAGAAAAAATATGTTCCTTATTAGCCATAAAACAAACACAAATGGTCAGCATGTGCTTAAAGAAACCAAATGTAAAGCCACACTAGATCTAAAATATACAAAAACTCTATTGTGCCACATTGGAATGGAGTAGAAAAATCCTATTAGATCATTAGACACCATTTTGCAATATCGTAGTGGAGTTAGAGATTAAACAAAGTGCCATATTTGATCCAAAATATGAGTCAGACTGTTCAAATGAAGGTGAAATTTATTACCAACCCGGGCCTATAAAAACATTATTAGACAACATTGGCTGTAATTAGACAAATGCAATGCAATATTAAGCTACTGGCTTTACTGCAGTCAGATAAAACACAAAGGACTCTTTATTTATTTGGCCTTTGTTAAACACAGTTTCACTCATTTGTTGTTCATCAGAAGAAACAAGAAATAGATCTCTTTTAAATTTGCTTACAGACTTTCATAGTCTCCAGAAGATGAACTCAAATAACTTTGCTCTGATTTTAACCAAAGCAGCACTGTTATTTTGACATTTCTGACAGTTATTAGATTGGTCACGATGCAGTTTGGTTTAAACATTCAAACTATGGTGCTCCACTGACTTTTATTCTCATAGTATTATCATGTCAAACCTGCAAAATATTTACTAAAGCTTAAACAGCACGGAAATAGAAATGCAAGGCCTTTATATATTATAAATGCGTAAATGTTTAACATGAAGGTCATTGTCCACCTCGAAGCTCACCAGGATCACATATCATATCATAAAATCCAAACTTTTCTGCATTTGCCATCAAATAAACAAGTTCCATAATTCCATGCAAATTCTTTCATAGCGCATTACATTAACGAGAACCAGTAAAATAAAGTGCCACACATGATTTTGAACTCCACAAAATCCCTGCCTTTTTCTCTATTATTCATTTTCTTTTTAAAATTTTTTTATCATGCAGTAATTTGCAGGGAATATCTATTTCATATCGCTCGCTATTATCAGCATCTTTTTGTAATTACAGCTGATAAAAACTGGCTCAATCTGAAAATACCTCACGCACACTAAAGAATACACTCAACAACCCCCTTCCCAGCAATAAAAATCACTTATGTAAGAGTCATACTTTATGGCCGGTAGTAAAAATCTTACTTTGGTCAGAATTCCCGTCAATACAATTGCACTGTGAGTGTGTGTGTGTGTGTGTGTGTGTAACTGACCGATCTTATTAAAGGCCTCTCTCAGGTCTTCCAGGTCGTCTCGGGAAATCTGCGTGACGTAATTCTCCATGGTAGCTTCTGTTTAGTGCAACTGAAACAATCACACAGACATATGAAAGTTTTTGATAATAGACGCAAAGTCTGATCAGCATGGGAGCATTTTTACACTGTGAACACACACTAGCTGTAGATGAGACTTAAAATTGGTCAACCTGATGCTGATTAACTGATTCTGACGGGATAAATGAGACTAAGGCAGAAAAATAGGTTATGTTGGCATTTGCACTGACAACTCATTAATTCTACACTAACTCACTACATATAGGGACATTAGAGATTCCACAGAAAAACACAAAGCCTAAGAATTTTAAAGCAAAACATCACGTTAGTTATTTGCATGAGGAAATTACAACTAAAGTTAACCAAGAAAGGCACACGTACCTTCATAGGAGTCTGTATTTCCCTTCAGTCCTGTCCTGAGCAGTGCAGATCCCTCAGGCCTGGCTACCTGAGTCGAGTCTTCCAAAGCTCTGCGAGGCTTCAGACCGGTAACTGGATCATGAAGAGGCTGGAGAGCTGGTTATCTCTCCAAGGAGGAGTCTCTTTGCAGAGCCACACAGTGGACCTTTGGCCTGCCTGGACCCTGGGACGGGCGTAATCTGACAGTTAACATTTAACACCTCAGCTGTGTCATCACGTTATTGTCTGTCGATGGAGTTTCATACGTTTATGCCATCTGGGCAACTGGTTTGCGGTCAAGGTGGATATCTGGCTTACGATGCCTCCGACTGTAGAGACGGGAAAAATTAAATGCTAGAATGGGTTTACAAGACATATTGTTTGGACAACAGACAGGAATGGAGGATAGGAAGGACTAAGTGACTGAGACGAAATAATACTGGCAGTCAAATTATGTGCAGTGCCTATTAAAAAGTGTTCATCCTCTTTGAAACTTTTCCTTTTGTCTGCTTTTAAAACACTGATTCATGGTCGTTTTCATTCAACTTTTTGACAAGAATGTACATAAAAAAGACTTTCATATCAATATGAAAACAGATTTCTACAACTAGAACATAAAATAAGTGACTGCTTCAGTATTCACCCCTTCATGCCAGTGTTTAGTAGATGCACCTTTGGCCGCAATTATGGCTTTGAGCCTGTGCAGATAAGTCTCAATCAGTCCCACACACCTGGACAGGGCAATTTTATGCCCTTCTTCTTTGCAAACCTGCTCAGGTTACACAGTGATCAAGAGTGAACAACACAAGAGCAGCCACAAGTTCTCATTTGGGACTGAGATCTGGGCTCTGCTTCATACACTCCAGAACCTTCACCTTGCTGTCTTTGAACCATTTTTGTGTATCTTTAGCTTTATGCTTTGGGTCAATGTCATGTTGGAAAACCCAAGACTCTCCCAAGTCGCAGTTCTCTTGCAGATTGCGTCAGATTGTCCTCCAGACTTCCCTATGCTTGGCTGCATTCATTTTACTCTGCCTTTACAAGCCTTCCAGGGTCTGTTGCCAAAAAGCATCCCCACATCATGATGCTGCCGCCACCGGGCTTCATGGTGCGTCTGTGATCATGTGCAGTGTTTGGTGTCTGCCAAACATAACATTGAGTCTGATGGCCGCAAAGCTTTTTTTCAACAGTGATTTTCTCTTTGCCATTCTTCCATAATGCTTTGGCGAGTGAAGAACAGGCAACAGTCTCTCCCATTTCAATCGCTGAAGCTCCATAGGAGGAGTCACAGGTGTCTTGTTGGTCTCCCTCACTACATTCTTTGCTGCACAATCACCAAGTTTTTCAGGATGGCCTGTTCTCATGGCATTCTTACCATGAGGCTAGATAAAATACACCTCATATTTGTTGAGTATGAAACTGCTGCCAGGAGTCGATTCGTGTAGCACCACATGAAGACTGGAAGCAGAGTACACCTCTAGCCTGACCTTATGCAGGCAAAGTCTCTCTCCAGACACTCCACTTGTGAAGCAACAAGGAAATAACCCAGTAAATGTCAAACCACAACCTGTCAACTTTATACTTCGGATTATACAAAGATTGAACAAACCAGATATAATGTTTCAGTGTTTTGAGTTGCATTGCAGTTGTTTTCAGGCTTCAAATCTCAATGTACTCATCTGAAGCTTCAAATGTATAGATCAGAAAAGGGTTGTATTGAATTTCTCATTCAATTTCCAATCAACTCTCATGCCCACTTTCATTTAATATAGTTTTTTAATGACTGACCTTGAGGTTCCTGTGAGACAACAGCAGTACAAATAGAAGTGTTATACAATCATTGCACAGTAATTACACAGCAATATAACTATTACATAAAGTTTGCTTTACATTTGCAACCAAGCTACAGGGCTGTAGTGAAGTGAGCAGGAGTGTGTTTTAGTGCTCGTTAATCCAGTTTAAATTATATAACGCTGATTGTTTTTCAAAGGTCACTTCAAAGCAGTTGTTTAAATTCATCAATCTAAAAGTGATTGCTAAAGTACATGTAGTACATTTTCTAAGGCTACAGTATCGTCCCACTTGGTTGCCCTTGTTTTTCTTCAAGGGACCATGCTCATGTTTTTAATTTCTATCAAACATGTTTAAAACATGAGGCTGCGTTTGCCTCACGGCCACACAATGACCTGTAACCTGAGGCATGAAGCCAACTGCATCACTTAGATTAAACTGCTCCTCCTCACGACAACATTAGCACTTTACTGTGGTGTTCATTTCTATGAGTAACACCTCCAAAAAGAACAGCACTAATCTGTACCTTTTTTTAAAAATTTGTTGTTTCGTAAATCTTAGGATGATTCTTCCTAAATATGTGACGTATGACCCGTTTGTGTAAGTCATTAAACAACAACAACATATTAAATTAAACAACATATTTCTGCAGCTATTCTAGTTAATTGTTCACTGTCCTGCAAATTCCACCTGTGTTTGAGAATGGCACAGTAAAAGTGTAAGGAAATAAAAATAAGGAGCTTACGTTCAGTCCTACGCAGGCTGAAGGGCTTAGAAATCCGGAGCTGGGCCAGTCCAGAGGAGAAAATCAGCTTGTTGTCGACTAGTTTTGGGCTCCTTCCTTCCTTATTCTCCTTTCCAGTCCCTCCTTTTCACGTCTTTCTTTTAGTATTAACCCTTTTCCTTCTGTTTTTGTCCCCTCCTTCTCTTTGTGTTTACCACTCCTTTACCACTGCTTTAAAAAAGACTTTCATAATGAACCAAAACCACGACACAAGTTTGTGCAAAATGTTCCCCTCTTGACATAGACAAACATACTAAAGACTTTTTAATAACTGCTCACTTAAAAAAGTCATCTAAATTTTCCACTCCAGATCAAGGACTCCATCTTTCTGCCTCCCCGTCAGGTCTTTTCTTCCTCGGACACCTGATCAGCCCAGTTTCACTCCGTGGCTCTGAGGTGCTCTCCGGTTACTGTCTCCTCCTAATCGCTGGTCTCCGGTAAACGCTCCACCTTCAGCTGGTTGAGGACCAGAGCTGCACTTCTGGTTGTGAACCCTGAGCCAGGATCAGTTATGAGTGTAAAACTGGAACGGCCTGCCAGAGACTTTCTCATAAGCCTCCTGCATTATTCACTGCATCTAAGAACACACGCACAAGGAGATTGAATAGAGTGTGAACCACACAGACATACAGTTTAGGAACACATACACACCCAAATAGTCAGGAATTATTTACAGGGTTGTAATGATGCTGGTCTTTACACTTCATGCAAAATTCCTTGTGCTTTTGGGCATATAGTGCCACAATTTCAGGGTACAGATAGATACAGAAAGATCCCAACTTCCTAAATGTGAATGTTTTCTGGTTTCTCGACTCCTTTATGACAGTAAACAGAATATCTGGACAAAACAAGACATTTTAAGACTGTGGGAAACATTATTAATCAAAAAAAATAAACCTAGAGATTAATCAAGAATGGTAAAAATCATTCATGCAAGCCCTGTTGTAAAAAGACTTTTTTTTTAATAGGAGAAATTACACATTGTTTTGTTATAAATCCTCTTATGAATGAAAAGTTGAGAGCATGCCATGTACATGCTTACTTGGTCTGACCAGTAGCTCATAATAACTATGCTGGCAATCTTTGACAGATACTCTGATTAACAATAACAAGCCAATTAGCTGACTTAATTCCTTTTTTCACTTGTGCTACTGCTTTAGCTCAACAAGGAAACACTGTCTAGAAAAACCCATGATTTTATACTAAAAACAATCTAACTTGGAGAGATACCCATATGAGTTTGTTGACTTATATTTCTGAATCTCATTAGCATCACTGGAACGCACTTCTGCACAAACTGTGGATTTTGAATCTCATCTTACGTTGTATATTTGCATTTGGAAGGGTTTCCATCACAAGGTGTGCAAAGAGGAGAAAGGGCTGCTCTGACTAATATCTATTTAAATATATGTATTGTAATAAAAAAGTATTATTTTTGTGTACAGTTGTAATATCTAGCTTAAAGATTCCATTTCTACATCGTCCTGCAGGTTGGTGTTTGTTTGAACCTTTGACCTTTTATTTAGCTGTAATGTGGCCACAGGACCACTCTGAGGCGCTGCTGACTCAGTCTGACAGCTGCTCAGCTGATGGAGAACAAAGGAGCTCCCTGTTTTTGTGAGAAAACTTGATCAGTGTAATGAAGGTCATTTCTGACAAAGGGGAGCTGAATCCTCGTTTAAAACAAAATTCCAGATTCTAATCTCGGACTCAAGGAGCCTTTCTTATACTTTGTTTTTATATTGTATTTAAACATTATCTTCTATTAGCACCATAAGCACTCAGTAGAGACAAGTCATCTTTGTTTTTGTACTATAGATTTTTCTACATCTTTGCACGCTGCATATTTTCTCTACTGTATACTTTGTGCATTACAGATATTTTTATGACCTCGCTCAGAGCCTTTAGTGTGTTTAAGTACGTTTGTGAATTGTTTGGTGTCAGAAATGCTTATGTTCAGTGTTAGATATTGGTTGTTGAAGCACGCAATTACATTTTTTTGCACGTTTTTTGCACATTTGCACAGATCTACTTCTGTGCACACAGCTTATTCTCTATACTGTATCCATAACAAATGTTTTCATCACCTCACTCAGGTTGTCAGTACATTTTAATGCTTCTTTAAGTAGGTTTGTGGCAGAATTGTTTCATATTTTGTGTCAGAAGTTAGTTATTGAAGTAGCTATCTATCTATCTATCTATCTATCTATCTATCTATCTATCTATCTATCTATCTATCTATCTATTGAAAGAAAACAGTTGTGTAATGTACAGGTACAAACGTTTAAATTGTATGCATATTTTTACACATATTCTGTTCCATGTGTTTATATAAATGTGCTTCTTCTTCATGTTGTGTTGAGATTGTTGATAATCAAGTCATTTCTTTTGCACACCGCATATTCTCTATACTGTAAATATTTCTACTAGGAGCCATTTAGTACATTTGAACACTTCTGTAAACAGTTTTCTGCCAGAAATGTGTCATGTTCAGTGTTGGATGTTGGTCCTTAAAACATCCTTCTGTCTATCATAACACACACACACGACTGCAACTCTCGCCAAATGTATGCTGAACTTTAGTTTCACAGTCTCTTTACTTATTATTTATGACCTTTTCTATTTTTAAGAGATGCTGTTGTTATCGTACAGCCTTGTGGAGCACTTTGCACTTCGCTGTCCACATTGTATTACCATGTGACCAGAGACTGTATACGAATGACAGTGCTAAACACATTTATCAGACCACCACCCAATGTAAAGTTTATGCTCTAAAATGCTCTAAATTAACAGCATTAGTAATTACCACTCCGGATAAGCGGGAGAAGATGGATGGATGGATGGATTTCTTATGTTTCTGTGAGGGTTAATACACCAGTATGTAGAAGCTCTTTAACCAAAATGATATTTTTAATGCTAAAATGGAATTATTATTGTTAACCATGAATTTTCAAATGTACTGTTTTATAGTTCTCTCTCTCTCTCTCTCTCTCTCTCTCTCTCTCTACACACACACACACACACACACACACACACACATATATATGTACAATTAGAACCAGAAGTTTACATACATATGAAAAGGCACACAAAAAAAATTCCAGCAAACTATTTTTAGAAGCTTATGGAAGGAAATCCAAAATGTTTGACGTTTGTCATCTGACTTTTAAAAAAGTAATAAAACAATCCCTAAAAGAAATCCTTTTCTTTCATTACTCTGGCATTTAGCAAACAGAAATAATTTTGGTAATCCTAACTGACTTAAAACAGGAAAAGTTTAGTCTTATTTAATGTCAGACAGTGAGAAAAAACAAAAACAAAACTGTTATATGTCTTATTATACAGTGTATGTAAACTTCTGGTTTCAACTGTATATACAGTGCTTAACAAATTACACAAGTGGTCAAATAAATTTGTTAAGCACTATACACACACACACACACACACACACACACACACACACACACACACACACACATATATATAGTGAATAAAAATACAATAAATAAAATAAATAAAATATAATAATAAATTAAAATATTAAATAAATTTAAAAAATATAAATAAAACTACTACTTGTCAAGTATCATATCACTGCAGACTGGAGCGTAGTTCTAGTATCATTTCAGGCGAACACAGTGCAGCAGTTACCTTGTTTTTGTGATTTTAATCATCACAAATAAAGTTATACTAAAACGTGCACACGCAGGGGGGCGTGTCGCGGCCGCTGGTCACATGACGCGGAAGATGTGGGGCTTAATTCCTGTGTTGGACTGCTCCCAGCTGCTGCGCCTCTGCCCTTCGCAGTGCAAACCATCCGTGTGGCCCATCACAACCCCCGACCCCCGGGTGGACTCTCCTCAGCGCACCATGTCGGGTAAGAACCGCCGGGGCCACACTGAGCCCCGGAACACGGCCGGACCGGACCGGACCGGGCCGGACCGACGCTGCTCCTGCGGTGCTGAATTCATGTCCAGAAATCTCGCGAGTGAATCAAACGCTGCAGAGAAGCACCTGCTGCTGGTTGTCTACTCTGCGCACAGACGCGAGTTACGATTCATGAGAACCGTTTTTCCTGCGGTCGGTTGAGCGACTGTCATGTTTCATTTGATGGGTTTCTGCAGCTGAGTGAAGCTGAACACACTGAGAAGAAGCACATCCTACAGGACATGTCACAATTAAACCAGCCACAGAAGGAGGATTATCCTGAGAAGTTTTTATTTTTAATAGTTTTGCAGCCTCAATTTGTTCAAACACTGTACTTCTACTCAGTCCAACCTGCATTTTCAAAACCAATAATGTGATGATAGTAATAGGAACAGCTGTGAGAAATAATTATCTTTATTATTGAGTGATCTGCTGATTATTTTCTTGATTAATCATTTTGGAAAAAGTGTCATAAAACAGTGTAAATATGCTCATTTTAATATAATTGGGTTCTTTAAATGTCTTTTGTCAAACAAACAGCCCAAAATCCAACAAAGAAAAAACACAGAGCCAGTAATGTTTTAACATTTATGTGTAAAAAAAAAAAAAAAAGAGAGAGAGAGAGATTAAACCAATTATTTGATCAACAGAATATTTGGTAATTAATTTGCTATCAGTCTAAGCTTGGGTCAATGGCACATTTGGTTTTCTAAGAATTGTGACCAAGACACGTTTATGGTGTAAGATTAAACATGTCAGTGCTGCGGTTGTGTCTAAATGACCTTTAACATGTTTTTGGCAGACAGTTCAATCTGTGTTTCATTTCGGAGGCCAGTAGGGTTTGTTTCTATTATCACATGATGACAGAAACAGTCAGGGCTTCAGCAAATAATCTTCATTATTGAGTGATCTGCTGATTTGTTTTCTTGCTTAATTGATTTGTCCTTTTGGATTAGGTGTCAAGAAACAGTGTAAAATGCTTATTTTAATACAATTTGGCATCTTTAAATGTCTTGCTTGCTCAACCGACAGCTAAAAAAACCAAAGACAACACGGGAAACACCTGGAACCAGTAAAAAAAATGATTAAAATAATGAATTAATCATGAGAATAGTTGATAAATGTGTCATTAGCCAGTTGTGACTCAGGTATGTGGGGCACTTTTTGGTTTAAAATGTGCTTTTAGTGTTTCTAAATCACCTTTTACATGGAAAACAGTCCAATCTGTGCTCATTTTTTAGGGCCAATAATGATATAATTGACTGATCTTTTTTATTATTTAAAAAAAAAAAAAAAAAAAACAGCCAAAATTTAGGCTTTGCTAGACAATCGTTTACATTTTTTACTGATCTGCTGATTGTTTACTTGATTTGGTGGTTTATCATTTTGGGTAAAGTGTCAGAAAATGGTTTAAATTGCTCATTCTGGTATAAGTGACAGTCCACAATCCAGAGTTTAGAAGCTAGAACCAGTAACTTGTCGCACTTGTGTGTTTAAACAAAAGGGACTAAAACAATAATCAATCACTTAATCTTTGCAGCTCTAGACAAGGCTACTCAAATTTGAATTGCTACGAAGATAAATGGGACATTTTATGCATCTTTAATCAAACTAGAAACTTATTAATCAACTTGTCGTTTGTGAAAATAAATCACTGGTTCTCAGTCGGGCTGCAAACGACTATTTCCATTGTCAAATGTTATTTTCTTGATAGTCGATTTGTTTTTCTGATTTACAAAATGCTGCAAATGGGGCAAAATGTTTATCAGTGTTTTCCAAAAGCCCAATAAGTCGTCTTTAAATGTCTTATTTTGTCCACAACCCAAAGATATTCCACTTATTGTCACAAAAGAGAAGTGAAACCAGAAAATATTTGTATATTAGAACCTGGAATCACAGAGTTTAGGCCTTTTTTGTCTTAAAAATCGATTATCAAAGCTGTTGCCGAATAATTTAATAGTTAACAGTAAATCAATCATGGCAGCCCTAAATCTCAAATGTGTTTTTTTTTTTTTTTATAGTAAAATGACGAGGTTTTAGGCAATTTGTTTGACGGAAACAAACAGCTAAAAGATGTGACCTCAGGTTTTTGGAAAAAGCTGGAAGTAGTGGTAGTCGGGGGTTTTTCAGCACTTTCTGACATTTTCATTGCCGAATGTTCGTGAAAACGAAAGGCAGATAAATGAACAAAGAAAGCATTAAAAGCAGTTATCTGGAATTCCACTGTTATTACGAACACAATGCACAAATAGTGGAAAACAACCATGACATCAGTAGATCAAAAGAGCCGGTTTTTCCTGCAGGCCTCATAAGATCCAGTTTATCGGCCCACGTGCGCCGAAACTGCGTCTTTTTCACTGTAACTGATCACCGCACGATTAAACATAAAACAGGCAGTTTGGAGAAATGGAACATGTGATCAGTGTTCACATTTAAACCTTTTCCACGCTTCATGCACAGCGCTTTTATTTTTTGAAGAATGCAGTGTTATCTTCCTGGATCACCGTCGGGGTTTTTAATTAACTTGACACAGTGGTCTCAGTGTGGACGTGCAGCACAGTGTGCCTCCACCAAGTTGATGTTTTTTTCCAGTGCCATAAAAGGCCTGCAGTTTGTCTCCTTTTGTGTTGCCTTTACTACGATTGTGAGTGACAACAGCTCCATAAATACAAGCATGACTGTCGATATGCAAATGAAAGACACTGATTAGTTTGGAAAAGGGACTTTACAACGATTCTGTATGCATTTAATTTGCATACGACAGTAACGCTGACATTACAATATGTATGTAAATCTAACACAGACTACTCTTGAGATTGCATAGGGTTTCATAAGGTGTCATAAGGCCTCACGTAGCCTGCAGATAACACTGTGGGAACGCAGCACATGCTTCCTGTGCTGCCTTGTAGGTGAGACACTCAGGCCTTTTGATAGTTCCTTGAATCAAACCATAGCAACGGTACAACACTGTCACGCAAGATCAGGTTTCCAAGAAGCCCCCCGACAGCTCGTTGCATTCAGCTTGATGAACTCTCTTCTCTGGCTCTGGGCCTACTTTCTCTCAAGCAGCAGCAGTAGCACTGCTCGCCCCCCCTGCTGCTGTCAATGTATGCACTGGAGACTCATCAGACACTGAACTTGACACAATAGGCCTGCAGATGAATCTGGCATCCTGTAAGCAATGCATTATTTACAGAATAAGAGCAGAAGGGTTTGATTTGTGTCTGTTCATGGAGGAAAAGTATAACAAAGTGGCTTGACATCAGCGTTAATCTGTAGATTTCTGGTGTAAAGTACATTAACGGCGTGGGTCTAAATGCTGAGAAAAAAGCTGATGGTAGTTTGCATGAACAGTGGCATCTTTTGAGGTCATAAAAACTGTACTTGGTGTGGATTTGTTTATCTTAGACACCAGCACGATTAATTGGTCATCCATTATGTTAACACTGGAGCATGAACGATAAGCCTGCCAGCAAGAGCAGCTGAAGCACACGTGTTTTCATAAATAAGAGGATTTTACTGATTGGTTTGGCCAATGTTTAGTTGTTACCTAAATAATCCATGAATGCAGTTATTCACTATAAATAAACTTATTTTGAAATACATCCTTATTTAAAGCTCTCAAGACACTCTGACAAGCAGATAAATTGAAGATAATAATAGATCATTTAAAATAGAAGACACATAAATCATCGTCAAAAACATGACAACATGCTACTCATATGGCTAATGTGTGCGTTTGTGTTCCTCCAAACAGACCAAGCTTTTGTTACACTGGCCACAAACGACAGCTATGCAAAGGGAGCCATGGTTCTCGGCCAGTCGTTGCGAAACCACAACACAACCAGGAAACTGGTTGCGCTTGTAGGACCTCATGTTGCAGAACCTTGCAGGTGACACACATTGTCAACTCTCTGGCCATTGTTGAGACACAAATGATTGTAAACACTGACTTTAGTCATCTCGTGCATGTTGCAGAGATGCGTTACGGTCCATTTTCGATGAGGTGCGTGTGGTGGACGTGATGGATTCGGGCGACACGGCTCATCTGGCCCTGATGAAGCGTCCGGACTTGGGGGTGACCTTCACCAAACTGCACTGCTGGACACTCACACACTACAGCAAGTGTGTGTTCATGGACGCAGACACACTGGTGAGGAACAAACGGTGGCAATATCAAAATCATAAATGTGTTTCCTAACAGGCTGCAAGGTGGTGCAGTTGGTAGCACTGTTGCCTCGCAGCAAGAAAGTCGCCGGTTCGCATCCCGGTGGGGGCACCGGAATCTTTCTGCGTGGAGTTTGCATGTTCTCCCCGTGCAGCGTGGGTTCTCTCCGGGTTCTCCGGCTTCCTCCCACACAGTCCAAAAACATGTTGAGGTTAATTGGTGATTCTAAATTGTCCGTAGGTGTGAATGTGAGTGTGCTTGGTTGTCTGTCTCTAAGTGTAGCCCTGTGATAGACTGGTTACCTGTCCAGGGTGTCCCCTGCCTTCACCCTGAGTCAGCTGGGATAGACTCCAGCCCCCCATGACCCTAGTGAGGATTAAACAGTGTATAGATGATGGATGGATGGATGTTTTCTAACATATTCATTCTTTTATTTTGAGTTTAGTTTTTGCAGAGATGTGATACTTGAGCTGCAAAAAAGATGGCATTGACTGAGTTTGCAGCACTTTCATTGCTCGTGAAAAGTAAATTTTTGTCCCAAACTTTCTTTTTTTAGCGATATAATCCGAGACAGTAAGTAACGTTATTTGTGTGTTCAGGTGCTGTCCAACATCGATGAGCTCTTTGAGAGGGAGGAGCTTTCTGCCGCTCCAGATCCCGGCTGGCCAGACTGTTTCAACTCCGGGGTGTTTGTCTTCAGACCGTCCAACGAGACGCATGAGAAGCTGCTGACATTCTGCGGCGAAAACGGCAGCTTTGATGGTGAGTTTTCTCATGCTGATTTATGTTCATGTTTGATTTTTGTCTCCTTTTATGGTCCTCAGAGGCTCAGAAAAAATGAGAACAGAACATGAAGAAACTGGAGGAAATGACCCAGAATACACACACCACTGCACACTTTCTTTTTTTTTTTTTAAAGTGTAAGAAGACAGATGATACCTTTTCTCTAGTGTTTGTTTTTTATTTTTATTTTTTTCCACATGGCAATTTGGATTGCTGCACCCTTGCATCTAACCAGTTATTTGATGTATGAAAATGTGAATCTGACTAATGTGTGTGTTGTAAATTTGGCAAAAGGAGGCAGAAACCACCATGACAGGGTGATGAAACCTGTCTATCAATGTGCTACATCTTGTCCTAACATACATGCATTCTCACAGTGCATACTGATGTTCAGCAGTAATAACATTTACCCTTCTCATTAATGTGATTTAGCGTACTCATTAGCAAATGCTAGCATGCAAAGGATGATGGGAATGCTAGGTTGTTGTTAGTTTACAGATGTTTGCTCATGAACCAAATGTACTGGCCAATTGGATTCCAGCACTCACATCACCTCTGCACTGATTTACAGTCATAAAATGACATTGTGCTTACGTACAGCCCATAATACTGCTCTTAATAGTGTGACAGAGCACAGCTGTGTTGGTGGTACTGTTGTGAACAAAAGTTTACAGACACTTGTAAAGACCGTGTATATAATGGCAGACTTGAGTTTCTAATGACTCAGAATGTTCCATCTTGAATCATTGAAACACCTGCATATTTATCACAAAAAAGCAATCGTGTTTTGGTTTTTTATAGCTTCATTATGGATCTTCTATAAATATGACAAAACTGCTGGGTCAAAAACGTACATACAGCAATACTAATATTTGTTTAAACGTCACTGGGTTGTTTTCACTTCAACAAGGCAGTTTTACAAGCTGTTGAAAAGCGTTTGACAAGCTTCTGTCTTTGACCAGTTTAACTAGATGTGTTGACTTTCTGACACAGGCTTGTTTCTCTACTTGTTTTCTTGATGTTGTTTTAGTCGGTACTGTGGGGAGAGCAGTCTAAAACCTTAGTTCGAGCCTGATTTAGCCATTTCTTTACCACTTTTGATGAAAGAACCAAAATCAAGATTATTTTGTGACAAAGATGCTTTTGTTTCAATGTTTCCAAAATTACATGTGTATGTAAACT